TGGCAAGACAAGATTACATCACAGCTAGCATTCAGGTCGGTCGTATGTCAGCGCAGCATGGTCGACCGCGTTCCAGCACGACTTGGTCGACCGCGTTCCAGCAGTGCAAAGTCAATGGCGTGCCAACGCTGCAGGTCGACGGCGTGCCAGCGTTGCTCCCGCAGAACAGTAGCGCACCAGCTTCGCAGGTGCTCGCAGATGATTGGCGTGCTGAGCCTCGTCACCTGCACAACGCACACACCAAGTCATCCTCTTGCTGACGACTCCACCTGATCCACCACGTCGACCTCGGGATACCACCACCGAGGTCAGTCTCGCCAACATCGCCTGGGCGACCGTCGCACTCTTCCGCAGAACCTCGTCACCCAGGTAACTTGGTCGACCGGGCAACCACGACGACCAGGTGCTCCTGTATGTGCCCGTCGACCTCTTAAGTCGACGTTCACCTCCATTCGACCTCACCAGGTCGACCACACCCCTGGTCGACCAGCTCCACGTCGACGTCACTACTGGTCGACCAGCTCCACGTCGACCAGCACAGTCGTCAGCCGACCACCCAAGTCGGCTACCAGAAGTCGGCGTCACCAAGTCGGCGCCGACTTCCGGGCCGACCTCTTGAAGTCGGCGACCTCCCAAGTCGGCGACCTTGCAAGTCGACGACCTTGCAAGTCGGCGACCTTGCAAGTCGGTGACCTTGCAAGTCGGTGACCTTGCAAGTCGGTGACCTTGCAAGTCGGCGCCGACTTCCAGGTCGACGTGCCACATCGCCGACCACCAAGTCGGCGGCATTGCAGTGGCCCCATGCAAGTCGACTAACCCCGTCGACCAGCTCGCCCAAGTCGGCGTCGCCCACTGCAACAAGTCGGCTGTACCTCCCGTACACCCAACTACGAATTCGGCTCCGCCCAAGTGACGACGGGGCTAACAACAACTCCTCTTGACAGATCCTTCCACGTCTTGTCGATCTCCTTGGGGTAGACGTAGCGGGTGTATGGGCGCGTGCGATTCTCCTCATCAAAGGTCGTGGTGTTTGCTTCCAGAACGAAGCGGAGTGTGTCTGAGCGCGGTGTTGGGCGCTCATGCCTCGTGAAGCCGAGTTTGTCGTCGCCTTCGTCGAAGATGCGATGAGCAGTCACGGCGAGCTCCATCTCGGTTATGCCTGTGGTCTCTTCTTCAGCGCTTTCCGCCTCTTGGATTGCCATATGGTCTCTTTTTACTTCTTCTGTGCGGCTTGCCGTGGGTGTGTGACAGGTGGTGCAGAGGCCGGGTGTTGGGGGGGGGGGGGAGTGTTTGGGGGAGCATAGGTGAGGATGAGATCGCGTGTGTCCGGGTCCATGGCGAGCATGACTCCATAGTCTCGGAGTTGTCCTCCCGAGAGCAAGTTGAAGCGGAGGTCTGGTACGAAGATCACGTCGTTGAATGAAATGTGAGTGTTGCTATCCCAAGCTTGCAGCACCACGATTCCTTGCACGTTGGCGCACAGTTGCTCGTTGTTGGCAACTGTAACGTAGGTAGCTGGAGCGCGGCTAATGTTCAAGACATATTGAACAGATCCCACCATGTGTTGGCCGCAGCAGCTATCCAGGTACCAGGTGTTATAGTTGTCAATGTTGTTGTTGCGCAGAATTAGCGCGAGTCATGGAGTCACCAGTGTTGCTTTGAAGTTTATGTGGAACGACGGGTCTTCCATACCACAGGTATGAAGCGCTGATGCTCATGTGGCGGGCTTTCCTGCAGCTGTATTGGCTGATGGCAATCTTGCTCATCTTCGTCATACATGTAGTAGTGATTTTCTGTGAGGGGGTTGTTCCGCCCTTCTTTTAGTTGAATGAGCCCGCCGCGAGGTTCTTCCTCTTCGTCAGGTTCAGCAGTGCGAGGGCGACGCCTTGTTGCCATGTTTGCGATCACGTTTCTAGGAGCTCCTGCCTGAAATCCTTGTGCTTGCTATTGTTGGTGTTGTGTAGGAGGACGAGAGGTTTGATGCTGGGGCTGAGAATGACGAGCATCTTGTCGGCCGACCCAATTGTTGTGGTGAGTGGAACTCGGGATTTACATTGATCCGTTGAATGTCTGAAGACTTTGCATATTTTGCAATAATGGTGCCTTGGTTTTCGTCGCTCTTTACGGTTGTCTGTGTAGAAGGCGAGGCGCTCTTGGCGCGGCGCGGAGCTTGTCCTGCTCGAGTCCATGTCCTGTTGTTTAGTCAGGAGGGATGCGCATAGCGCGGCCTCAGAGATAATTCCGCAGTAGCGCTTTGCAGGGCTTCCACTTTGGCCCGAGTCCTTGGAGGACGATGTTGAAAAAGATCTCCTCCAAAATTGCACTTTCATGCTTCGTGATTTGGTCACGAATAGTCCGACAGCGGTTAATATTAGAGTTTGCTTTCTCCCCGTGCCCCATCTTGGTCTCCATGAGTTGCTGCAGGAGCCTGCTTGCGGTGACCGAGTCCGTTGGCTGATATACCTCAACGAGGTGCTTCCAGGCTTCCAGGGCTGGAGCAGCGCTCTCTTTGTAGAAGCGAATGCTGAGTTTTTCCGCATGCGTCATATTACGTAGCAGCATAGTGTACGCCATGAGGGACTCGCTGTAGTACTGAGCCCTGGCGTCGTCGGTGTCTTCCACCGGTTTTGCGTAGGAGCCGTCGAAGGAATGGTAGATCTGCGCTATTTGTAGGAGGAGCTCAAGCTCGAAACTCCAAGTGTAAAAATCCTTGCCGTCAAACGCGGCAGTAGTCTTAAATTTTGAAACGCTGAGAAATCGTGCTTGCGCTGAGTTGATGACTTCATCACTTGGACGGGGGGCAGCTGTTGTTGATTTGTCTGTGTCGGGGGAGAAGGTGTGCGCGGCGGTATCACGGCTTTTCGCAGCCGGTTGTTCAGGTTGAGCTGGTTGGGAAGAGGTTCTTGCACCGCCTTTGCGCAGTTCTTGGAGGTCTTTCTCCATAGTTGAGAGTCGCAAAAACAACTGCTCGAGTGCGGCAGTGCTGATAGTGGTTGTCGCCTCATTTGTCGCAGCCGGGTTGGTTTGTCCTTCGGCCGTCAGATTTGCTTGGCCTCCGGATCCTCCGGCCATCTTGGTCTTGGAGTGTATGCCGCTCGCCAGATCTTGATTCGGCGAATTTTACGGAAGTGAAGTTGCGAAGAATTCCTGAGTTGCTCTCATATTATGTTATAATCCCAAGTAGGACTTAGCGAAGGATCACTCATGGTTGATCGCGGGGTAGTGTTGCAGCGGAAGTAGTGACCTCAGATCAGAGTGAATGCAAATGACTGAGATTGATAATAGCATGCATACATCGGGTTTATATAGGAAATACAAAGGAATACGAAACGACCTAGACTAACCATGTACTCGAAAGGGTACATTCCCTTATTGCAGCGAAGTTCAAACCGTGCGGCGCGGGAACCCGTTTCAAACATGTTCCATATTTTCACTTCAAATATTTCTGCCTGCATCGATCTTGATCAGACGGTTACCAGCGTCGCTTCGGCTCTTCTGACTCCTCCACTTCGTACTCGGTAGAGTCGGCTCCTGCTGTTGAGATACTAGACATAGCTAGGACTAGAAGTCTTAAGTTTAATCTAGGCAAGGAAGAGTTGTCCAAGCAAAGGAGGGGATGTACTATAGAATGAGTTCAGGGCTGACTTTATCAGACTAAAATAGTCTGATTGTCTGAAATCTCAGGGTATTTTCCTACGGATCCTGATTTTTCAGACTTGTAAGATTTTCAAACATGAGTACCTCAGACTTACCTGGTTTTGGATCCTGAGATTTTCAGACTACTGACTTAACCGATAATGGGTCTTCATACTACAGGGAGTACGGATCCTGAAATGTGGATCTGTAATTTCTACGTACATTCCGCTACCGTACGTCATATGTTGCCAGTGTACGAACACACTTCATGGCGCTGTCACGCGCAGAATCTGTCCTTGGCTACTTTTGCCACCATTTTCCTTTAGAAATCTGCCAACTTGGCTCGCTCTTTCACTCACAAGGGACCATCACTGCAGCTACCCGGTGTCAGCGAGGGAAACTCTGTGCTGGCGCAGCAAAGTCGGTTAGCGCTGCGCCCCACGTGCTACATTCATGGCAGTACTGTACTGCAGTGGTTGTAGTGTGTTCTGAGTACTTCAGACTTGTGTTTTTGCGGAACCTGAAAAATCAGAGTAGCCATTCTCTGGGAAATATGCCTCAGACTAAAAAATTTCAGAGCCCCCAGAACATCAGACTGGATTTTTTTGAATAGTCAGCCCTGAATGAGTTGTACAAATAGAGGAGAAGCATGCAAGGAGTGGTGCACCACCACAGAGAACACCTATGTGACTACACTACAGCTAGAACTACATGCACTTATACAAAATATATATATAATATATTCTTACACCTGCAGCATACAGGAATGCCTTCTCATAACGTTTTATATCATAACAGGACATTAGGCGAAAAAAAATCTGCGTTGTCTGAAACTCAGATGAGCCAAATGCATTCATCTAGAAAAATATATGAAACAAAAAAAGTAGGTCCGAATTCCAGACTAACAGAGAACCAAATTTTAACTGATAACAAGAGCCCTGCTTCTGGTGCACAATGCCTTAAATGCCTGGTTCTTTCCCTCCCCAAGCATCTTACATGTGTCTACTGGCCAGGCATCCCAGGCCTCCCTTTTCATGTGAGAGCTTTAGTGAAGCAGGCCATGGCAGCGTTGAGCACCTCCCCTTCTCCCTTGTACCGCTTGCCGTTGAGAACCGCCTCCCCAATCCGTTTTTCATTTCCAATATGCAACTTTCCGTGACATATGGTACCGCCGACCGTATATTTTCATGGTATCTCTCCAGACAGCTTCGCATTAACCCACCCACCATTGTTTCTGTAGCTTGTGTCTTTGGCTATCCTGATACACCTTAAGCATTGTCTCCAGTTCAATCAGCGCATCAAAGCAGCTTTAGTCACCACCACTCCCCACCCCACACCCATCCAAGACAACCAACAATATCCCTTCACTCGTCATCCAACCTGCCCAGTAACCCCCGGGCGTCCTCCCTGGGCAGCAGCAGGGAGAGCAGGAAGCGCAGCGCCTTGAAGAGCCGCGCCTGTGCCTCCCCCACTAGCAGACGGGGCAGATGCGCGCTGGCAAGGGGGACAGGAGGAAAATGGTGGAGAGGTGGAAGGGCAAGGGCAGATCGGCACGACTAGGAAGGAAAGGAAAGCGATGCAGAATGGAATGGAGGAAAACAGGGACACGAAAGAGCATGAACTCGTTAGAGTTTAAAGGCGAGAAACAAAAAGGGAAATGTGTGGGATGGGAGGTGGGAGGAGAATGGTCCCACTTGTAGATGTCTCCAATGAACGGCAGGTGCGAGATGACTGGGTTGCGCTGGAAGAAGTCTCTCTGAAACTTCACTCGCTTCAGCTGCCGCACTGCTGGTTGCGGTGCTACTGCTGCTGTCCTTGCTGCCCCATGGCCCTCCTCCCCAGCAAACTGACTGCTCCCCCCCGCCTCTGATGCAGAGGCAGAGCCAGCAGCGGCAGGTGTGGGAGGAATGGCAGATGGTGTGGCAGCAGAGGGTTCCGATGTTCTGCCTTCCTTGGCAGGAGGTAGGGGAGGAGGTGTGAGGCCGTGCAAGGGATATTCCTCCTGGGGGAGTAGGGGAAGGGAGAAGATGGGGCGGGAACACAATGGGAGGAAAAGGCTGAGGGTGGAAGTAGAGAAAACAGGGTCGGCGATGGGTATGAGAGCTTGTATAAGGAAGCATCGGGATGGGAATGGGACATTGAGCAGGGTGTAATCAATGGTGGCATGAGAGACACGATGAACCATGGGATAATATGGTACACAGGTGAAAGAGCGTGCCATTGCAGCAGGATAGAAGATCGTCGCCAGTCACCTCGTTCTTGCAACGGAAGCTCCCATGGAGAGGGGCTTGCAGCGAGAGGGGCTTGCAGCGAGAGGGGCTTGCAGCGAGAGGGGCTTGCAGCGAGAGGGGCTTGCAGCGAGAGGGGCTTGCAGGGGGATGGGCTTGCAGGGGGAGGGGCTTGCAGGGGGGAGGGGCTTGCAGGGGGAGGGGTCGCAGGGAGAGGGGCTAACAGAGGGGGGGCGCTCGCAGAAAGATGGGACGTGGGCGTTACCAGTGGGATGTCCTCGAGCTCGAGCAGCACACAGAGGTCAAAGTGGGCGAGGAAGCCGAGCTTGAAGAGCGGGCGCGTGAAGACTGTGACGTAGAGAGAGAGTGCGTCCTCCACAGGGTCGTACAGCACGCGGTGCACTCGCACCCCCTGGTACTGCAACACCACGTGCGCCATCTGAGGGAGGGGTGGAGATGAGAGGGCAGAGAGGAGGGCAGAGGGGAGAGTGGAGAGGAGGTGGAAGCAGGGGTATGGAGTACAGCAAACACGCGGTGCACTCGCACGCCCTGGTTCTGCAACACCACGTGCGCCATCTGAGGGGAAGAGGGCGGAGAGGAGGCGGAGAGAGGCGGATTGGAGAAGCGGAGATGAGGGAGGAGAGGAGGGTGGGCAGGGGTATGGAGTACAACTGCGGTAATAAATAGCTATGTATTGAAACACCGCCAAACACCGATACCCCTGACGGGTCCCAATCCGCAATGGCGCGTCAGTCGTCAAAATCCTCACGTCTAACACCCCGACTCTCCTCCCCCTTCTCCCCTCTCTCCTGACTCCTTTCCCCTCTCCTCCCTCTCCTTTCCCCTCTCCTCCCTCTCCTTTCCCCTCTCCTCCCTCTCCTTTCCCCTCTCCTCTCTCTCCTCTACCTGCATCCCCTACCTGCTCCACTTCCCTCCTCTCGCTTGCCCCCTCCCCCCTCGTCTCCGCTGATCTCCCCTCACGGACCTTCAGTCTACTGCAGCGCAGCAACATAAGCAGCGTCACAACACCCACTCCACCTCACCACACATAATTCCACCCCAACCCTTCCCACACCACGTCACCCCCCGTCACCCCACCTCACCCCACCCCACGCCACGTTACCTGGTAGATGCAGGTGAGGTCGGCGGCGCCACTGGCGACGTCTACGAGGAAGTGGGTGAAGCGCACGCGCGGGGAGAAGCACCGCCGAATCACCTCCGCCTGCCGCCGCAGCGTCGGTCGCGTCACCAGCGCGCCGATCACCGCCACCGCGTCGCGCCGCGGGTCCTCCATCCCCCACCGCCAACGCTCCCTCGCCGCCTGCCCTTCGCCCTTCCTACGCCGTTCGGTCACCCGCTAACTTCGCCCTTCCGTCCGCCGTTTTGTCAAAATGGTAGAGAGTAATGCTCCTGCCTCGACCCGTCAAGCACGAGTAGCCAACGCGTTTTACCCCGATGCGCCGATACCCGATTCCTCCGTTCCTCCTCTCACGCCGCCGCGTGATGGTCGGGCGAGGAACGGTCCGCCCGTCGAATCCCGCAGTCGGACGAATTGCGGAAGACAAAATTTGCCGAGAATTCACGACACGAACTGCTCCTGATACTCCGCAAAACGGATTTCCCAGCGCCGTGGGACCCGCATCGCTGACGACGGTTCCTGCTGTTACCGCAAGTCGAGAGCTGCGGTGCCAGTCAGACGAAACCTCCTGCTGGCCCTTCGCAACGCCGCGGTGCTGCTGTGACGAGTTGAGAGGCAGCGATTCGTCGGCATCGCATTGGTCGGCTGACGACCACCCGACCGATGACTCGCGATGAGCGATGAGCGATGGTTGGTTGTGTTCGACTGGGACGATGATGTGTGCATGCTCCTCGCAAATGGCAGTAACCGCCCAAACTGCGAATAAATTGTCTCCTGCGGACGCATATCGGTCGTAACATGCACCTCCTCTTATTCCCCCTCGTGCTCCTTCCGTCGCAACCTCGGCACACCTCGCTGCGCCATGCCACGGGGCATTAGGCCGCTGTGTCTCGGGCTTGGATCTTTGTAACAAAGAATGATTTTACCTCAACTTGGTGATAATTCTCAGCCGAAGTCATGTGGGCAGACGCACGGCCATCAATATGGGTATTGATATTTGAGTGGCTGTAAGGGCGTGTAACTTTTTCCAATTCTGCCGGTCCGGGCCCATCGTCCGGACTTTCGTAGAGTTACTGAGATCGTGAGTATTCGCTTTGTCTTTTACTCGTCAACGGATTTTGACGATATCAGTAACCCTAAAAAATTCCGGACGGTGGGCCGTCCGGACGGTCAGAAAGAGAAAAAGTACACCTAATGTGTGGAATGGACCAAACTAATGAGTATTACACTAACGAGGAAAAGGAAGACTTGAACGTCGAAGTGTACCGTGATGCACTAAACGTTCTGAAATGTGTTTCTAGCGCTTGTTACCGAAGTGTTATCTTGAACAGCCTGTTAAAACCCAAGACCTGAATTACTCAACGGAAGTCAACGCTAAAAACTAGGTTCGGGAGGCAGGCACGGAGAGGTTCGGTTGGGTTGCGAGAGACTTTCACTCGCGAAACCAATTTGCGACAAAAGTTTCTCGCTTCCCATGATGGGTGGGGTCCTTCCCACAACCAGAAAAGCACGTGCATACCAAACTGTGCACAGTTTGAGATAGCACGCAGAGTAATAGGCATAGACCATACCTGTAGACAGGGCAGGGCGTCGGCGTTCACTCAAAAGGGATCAGATGCGCCTTACGATGTGGGTGGCGCGGATTTTGATGATGACGCGCAAAGCTAGTGCTCGCTGGGTGAAGATTTTTGTGTCGAAATGCATTTTATTGTGCAACTACTGCGTAGCGTAAACTCGCGGCGAAAATCGAATCGCACCCGTTCGCCCAAGCGTGACCCTCCCTTCGCCCTCGCTTTCATTTCCCTAGGTCCCACGCTTCCGCTCTCTGTCGCCCGCGTCGTCGCCATCGCTTCCGCAGCTCGTCGCGTTCGCGACCCCTGCCCGTCGCCTTCGCTCCGCCCGTCGCCTTCACTTCCCCCCCGTCGCCTTCACTCCCCCCCCCCCTTCCCCCCCCCTTCCGTCGCCTTCACTTCCCCCTCTCGTCGCCTTCACTTCCCCCTCCCGTCGCCTTCACTTCCCCCTCCCCTCGCCTTCACTTCCCCCTCCCGTCGCCTTCATTTCCCCCTCCCCGTCGCCTTCACTTCCCCTCCCGTCTCCTTCATTTCCCCCTCCCGTCGCCTTCACTTCCCCTTCCCGTCGCCTTCACTTCCCCCTCCCGTCGCCTTCACTTCCCCTTCCCGTCGCCTTCACTTCCCCCTCTCGTCGCCTTCACTTCCCCCTCTCGTCGCCTTCACTTCCCCCTCCCGTCGCCTTCACTTCCCCCTCCTCTCGCCTTCACTTCCCCCTCCCGTCGCCTTCACTTCCCCCTCCCGTCGCCTTCATTTCCCCCTCCCCGTCGCATTCACTTCCCCTCCCGTCTCCTTCATTTCCCCCTCCCGTCGCCTTCACTTCCCCTTCCCGTCGCCTTCACTTCCCCCTCCCGTCGCCTTCACTTCCCCTTCCCGTCGCCTTCACTTCCCCCTCTCGTCGCCTTCACTTCCCCCTCCCGTCGCCTTCACTTCCCCCTCCCGTCGCCTTCACTTCCCCCTCCCGTCGCCTTCATTTCCCCCTCCCCGTCGCCTTCACTTCCCCTCCCGTCTCCTTCATTTCCCCCTCCCGTCGCCTTCACTTCCCCCTCCCGTCTCCTTCATTTCCCCCTCCCCGTCGCCTTCACTTCCCCTCCCGTCTCCTTCATTTCCCCCTCCCGTCGCCTTCACTTCCCCTTCCCGTCGCCTTCACTTCCCCCTCTCGTCTCCTTCATTTCCCCCTCCCGTCGCCTTCACTTCCCCTTCCCGTCGCCTTCATTTCCCCCTCCCGTCGCCTTCACTTCCCCTTCCCTTCGCCTTCACTTCCCCCTCTCGTCGCCTTCACTTCCCCCTCCCGTCGCCTTCACTTCCCCCTCCCGTCGCCTTCACTTCCCCTTCCCGTTGCCTTCACTTCCCCCTCCCGTCGCCTTCACTTCCCCTTCACGTCGCCTTCACTTCCCCCTCTCGTCGCCTTCACTTCCCCCTCCCGTCGCCTTCACTTCCCCCTCCCGTCGCCTTCACTTCCCCCTCCCGCCGCCTTCATCTCCCCCTCCCCGTCGCCTTCATTTCCCCCTCCCCGTCGCCTTCACTTCCCCCTCCCGTCGCCTTCACCTCCCCCATTTCCCCCCTTCACGCTCTCTTACCCCCTCTGCTCGCCCCTGTTTTCCCGGCTCACTCCTATACTCACTCTCTCCCTCCCTGCTCACTCTCTTCCCCCCTGCTCACTCTCTTCCCCCCTGCTCACTTTCTTTCCCCCTGTTCTCATCCCTCTTTCCCCCTTTCTCACCCATTTCCCCCCTGCTCGGTCTATTTCCCCCTGTGCTCGCCCCTAAAATCCCCTGCTCACTCCCTTACCCCTTGTTCACTCTCTCCCCCTCTGGTCACTCTCTTTCCCCCTGTACTCACCCATCTTTCCACCCTGTTTACTCTCTATTCCCCTTTGTTCAACCCTTTTTCCCCCCCAAGTCCTCTCATTTCCCCTCCTTAGCCCCATGCTTACTGGCTATCCCCTTTGCTCACCGCCTTCTCCACCCTGCTCTGCTCACTCTGTTCCCCGCTTCGCTCAGTCCTCTGCCTAACTCCTCCCATACATGCCCTCCACCTTCACCCCTCGCTTATTCTGCCATATCCCCTCTTCCCTCCCCGTTCCATACAGAACCATGCGTGTACAGGTGCCAGCACCATGGGTCCCAACAGGAGTGGGTTAAAAAGTTACCACCTCCTAGCTTTGTGCTTGTGCTTATAGTCTTGTCTTGGCAACATAAATGGAACATTATTTTGCTTTGTTGCACTTTTTCATAATGCTCCAAATCACGATGTGGTGTATTATGAGACGCATCCAACCAACTTCAATAACGGTACATGGCATAGCTATTGTAGACAACTAATATTATCAAACCCTATACTCATCACAACTGGATGCATGGCAGACCTGCACAGACACGAACCACCAACTCTGATGGAGGGTGGGGAACAAAGAATGCACGGAGGCAGAAAATGAGCAAGGGAGACACGGAGGAAGGGCGGAAGGGTGAGCGAGATGAAGCGTGGGTAGGGGAGAGAGCACGGAAAGGCACTAAGGCAGAAGCGTGGGCGACGGTGAGAGGATGGGCGGATGAGATGATGGGCGGATGAGAGGATGGGCGGATGAGATGATGGGCGGATGAGATGATGGGCGGATGAGATGATGGGCGGATGAGAGGATGGGCGGATGAGATGATGGGCGGATGAGAGGAAAAAGTGCGGCTGGGTACAAGGGGGAAGGTAGAAGGGTGGAACGGAGGAGCAGGGTTGGCGAGAGGAAGGGAGTGGGAGAGTGGGAGATGGAAAGGGGAAGGGGGACTGGATCGAGGGAGGATGAGGAGAGGAAGAATGGCAGGAAAGAAGGATGGGAGGAAGGGAGGACGGGCAACAGAGAGGGTAAAGAGGGTAGGGAGGCAGAGAGATGGAGGAAGGGAGGAAGGGAGGACGGGCAACAGAGAGGGTAAAGAGGGTAGTGAGGCAGAGAGATGGAGGAAGGGAGGTTTGTTTTCTGGTAACCAGCCTGGCTCGGGAGGTCAACTGTGGGTTCGGTAGGCAAACTGTGCACAGTTTGCCTTCCTTATTTAGAAAGCTTGCTTTCTTGTGTTTGCAATGGCAACGAGCTTCGTTTCAAATGGGCATTACATCATTCTCGTCCGGGATATATATGGTACCTACATTACACATGACAACATGCAATTTTTGCTAGGGTGGGTGGGTGGGAAATAAGACATTTGAAATTTCAAACGAAGACGTGGGTGGAGGCCAAATGGCCTCCACCCCCTGCTATATAGTTGGCGAAGAGCGTCTAGCACTTCGCCGTTGCCATTGCTGCATTACAAGCAGCTTTGCTTTCAAAATACACATTTTTAGAAAGTGTTACACACTTAAAAAAAAAAATCATATTTAGAAAGCTTGCTTTCTTGTGTTTGCAATGGCAACGAGCTTCGTTTCAAATGGGTCTTCTGAGACATGAGACGGGGAGATGCTGCGGAGACGGTAAAGGTTGTTGATGGTTTATGCGACGACATGTTGGTGGAGTTCCAATCATGCGCGAAGAAGAAGGCTGGCACCGATGTTGATCGAGGTGCAGTATTCTCTGCTGTTGCCTTGGAGTGTCGCCCTAAGTGAGTGTAGCACAGTAGTGGTTACTTATAAGCGTTGGCTCACACGTGAGCTTCGGACACGAACTCGCAAGCAGTATGGGAGGACACGGGCAGCGGGCGTTAGTATTCTGAGTAATGATGGATGTGATGCTTGTAGGAGCCCAACCCTTGCTGCGGTCACAACCGTGCTCACATTACGAAGCGTGCATGCAACTTGTATCCGGATACGGTAAATCTGTCAAGGTTTAAGCCTTTGGTATTCGTACTCATCTGCTATAGTTGTGCACCATCTCAAACTCACCAAAATCTTGTTCAACCAGCCAACTCAAATGTGATCGCGTCTAAACCTTGCACTTTGGGCTTTAGCCCTGGTATTTGACCAATATATAACTAAACTCACGAGCCAGAAAGGGACCCACCGGTCCTCCTCCCCCCTGGGGAGCTCGCTGGCCAGCACCGCACAGGACCCACCGGTCCTCCTCCCCCCTGGGGAGCTCGCTGGCCAGCACCGCACAGGACCCACCGGTCCTCCTCCCCCCTGGGGAGCTCGCTGGCCAGCACCGCACAGGACCCACCGGGCCTCCTCCCCCCTGGTGAGCTCGCTGGCCAGCACCGCACAGGACCCACCGGTCCTCCTCCCCCCTGGGGAGCTCGCTGGCCAGCACCGCACAGGACCCACCGGGCCTCCTCCCCCCTGGTAAGCTCGCTGGCCAGCACCGCACAGGACCCACCGGTCCTCCTCCCCCCTGGGGAGCTCGCTGGCCAGCACCGCACAGGACCCACCGGTCCTCCTCCCCCCTGGGGAGCTCGCTGGCCAGCACCGCACAGGACCCACCGGTCCGTTTCCGGCTGGCGCGAGGCCCCCGGTCCCAATCTCCCACGGGAGCGCATGGGTTGTGCCAAATGTTTTGCCGCAGTCTTTCTTCGCCGGTAGTCTTTCATGGCGACCCAAAGGTAGTTGCCTCGCACCGATTTACTGCGATAAAAAATAAGAAATAGCATGAGAGAAAAACGCAGACGAACAAGAATCGAAGATAGGAACGAAGAAGAGGTGGGAACATATGCAAAGTAATAATTTATTCGTTGGCAAATTTCAACATCAGAAGCGCATCTGCCGCCAGTTTGTCTCTGGCGCGCCACTGGAATCTCGCCTTCTGGAGATTTCGCCATCATGCCTGCTGGTACCGACTTCCGCTGGACGCGCCCCTGGGTTCTTGCACGCCACTGGCGATTTCGTAGCCACATGCGGCAGTGGCGATGTTGACCATTTCGGCGCCATGAGCGCCACTGGCGCCACTTGCGCCGCTGGCGATTTTGACTCCACGTGCGCCACTGGCGATTTCACCACGCGCGCCTGTGGCGATTTCGTCGCCACGCGTGCCTGTGGCGGTTTCGTCGCCACGCGCGCCTATGGCGATTTCGTCGCCACGAGCGCCTGTGGCGATTTCGTCGCCACGCGCACCTGTGGCGATTTCGTCGCCACGCGCGCCTGTGGCGATTTCGTCGCCACGCGCGCCTATGGCGATTTCGTCGCCACGCGTGCCTGTGGCGATTTCGTCGCCACGTGCGCCAGTGGCGCTGTCGCCTTATTAGCCTCGACGTGCGCGCCTATTGTGCGGACGGGTGTACCCGCAAGACATTTCTGAAACGTGTGTTGTGCTATGTCAATCTAGTTAATGCCTACTATTTTAAGAGAGAAGTGAGCGACTGAGGAGAACGGGAAGTCGTCGGACGAGAATGAAATAAGACATTTGAAATTTCAAACGAAGACGTGGGTGGAGGCCAAATGGCCTCCACCCCCTGCTATATAGTTGGCGAAGAGCGTCTAGCACTTCGCCGTTGCCATTGCTGCATTACAAGCAGCTTCGCTTTCAAAATACACATTTTTAGAAAGTGTTACACACTTTCAAAAAATTTCATTTTTTGTAATTCAGGTCTTGGGCTTTAAAAAAACCATTTTGAACCGAGATGTTTTTGCACCCAAAATTCACAGCTAAAGCCTTTCGATCCCGCAATCCCCTCTGCATCAACGCAATCCTCCCATGGCTACATTTCTGTTTTCGCGCCACAATCCTCTCTCCGCGTCCGCCTTTCTTCCCGTCTCCCCCATTCGCCCAACCCCCCCGGCTCTGCTTTTGCTCCCCTGCCGCTTCATACCGCCTTGCTTGCGTGCGTCCGCCCGCTATGGCGGAAACTTCTTCTCTGCGGAGGTCGTTCCGCGCGGACTTAGCGCAGGGCCTTCCCGCCATCGCCGCGGTAAACCCCATCGCGCTTCGTCGAGGAGAAATCCCGAACGAGCGGCTCGCGCAAGGAGTCAACACGCGGAACGCGCGGGAGGAGCGGCGGCAGGCGCGGGGGAAGAACACGCGCGGAAGGAGGGGGTAAGCGGAGATCACCTAGCGGGGCGGACGGTGCTAGTGACGGCGCCTGCGCCGTACGATGCGGCGCTGAGCGCGGCAGTGCGCGCAGCAGGCGGGGAAGCAGTGGCGTGCAGTATGGTGGCGACTGACGTGGGCGATGAGGCGTGCCGGCGAGCAGTGGAACGATTCCTTGTGGGGGCTGGGGGCGGGCGGCAGAGTGAGGACGCTGGCGGGGCGAGTGAGGGAGTGAGTGAGGGAGTGAGTGTGGGAGTGCAGGATGTGGCAGCCATAGCGTTCACATCGCGCAATGGCATCACGGCCTTTGCGAATGCGGTGCAGCGACTGCCACAGCACGCGCTGCCAGCTGTATGGAGAGCAACAGTCGCTCCCAGCCAACCCCAGCAACCCCTACAACAGCAACAGCGACTGCAGCAAAGCGAGGAGGAACAGAGGCAGCAGGACGAGCAGGAACATCAGCAGCAGAGCACCACACCCCTCAGCACCGCGCCATGCTCTCCTCTCCTCATCGGCGCTCTGAGCCGGGACGCCGAGCTACCAAGGCGGAAGTGCCTTGGTAAAGATATCAGCAGTGTTGGCCTCAGAGGCCACGTAAGCAAGGCGCAGCTGACCACGCTGCTGCAGCTCACGAGCAAGGAAGTAGCGAAGAGCAATGTGCTTCGTTCTGTGCTCCAGTCTGTGCTCCCGACACAAGGCCAGCATGGCCTTGTTGTCTACGTACAGAACTGGAGGAGAACGAGGCGGCTCTCCTAGGTCAGTCAACAGGTAGGTGAGCCAGCGTAGCTCCTGTGCCGCCATGGCCCCCGCGTAGATCTCAGCCTCACAGCTGGAGCCGAGAACAGAAGACGAGCGGGTAGACCGCCACGAAACAGAGCCGGAGCCAAGGCTGAAGGTGTAACCGTGTGACGACCGCTGCGTAGCCTGGTCGTCAGCCCAAGAAGCGTCTGCGTGACCTGTGAGGACCACTGGACGTCGCCCTCCAAGCACTAGCCCCATGCCCGACGTACTGCACAAGTAGCGCAACACCCTTTTCGCTGCAGCCATGTGCTCTGGTCGGTGTCTCCCAGGAGCAATATAGCGTGCCAAGATGCTAAGAGGGTATGCAAGGTCAGGTCGTGTGCAGGTCATCAGGTACATGAGGCAGCCAACAAGCTCTGGGTACGGGCCACTCGGCTCTACGGACTCATCCGAAGGCAGAGCTGAGAGCGAGTGGCGAGTAGACAGAGGAGTGGCCTGAGGCGAGGAGTACGTGAAGTCGAAGCGCTGAAGGACCTGCTGCACCATGTGTGACTGAGTCAGGGTAATGGTGCGCTGTGCTCTGTCCCGGGTGATCTGCAAGCCAAGGTAGCTGCGCAGTTCTGACAAACATTATATATGTTGTATTTGTGTAGGCTACAGTGGGTTAGCCTTTAGGGGGTACACAATTCTAGGGTTAGGTACTTGTACTCCCTTTTCCTTTCTAGTCCCACACTTCTTCTTTCTAACATGGTATTAAGAGCGTAGGTTTAGACCTAGGATCGCTCCTTAGGGCCCACCGTTCCGTTCAAAGCGCCCTCGAGCGCCTTTCTCCTAGTGCGCCCTCGTGCGCCTCGCTGTCTCCTACTGCCCGTGCGCAGCTCAGTAGAGCCGCACGCGGCCTTTTTTTTTCTCGCGTGCGTCGCCCCCTAGCAGCCCGCGCGCGGCGTTTCTTGCGAGCGCGCCGCCCGTTAGCCTCCCACGCTGCCACGCGCCGCCCGCTAGCAGCCCGTCGACGGGCCCCTCTGGCCGCGCGTAGCCCGCTAACGACCGGCAGCCCCGCCCGTAGGCCGTGCCGCCGCCCTCTAGGCCGCCCACGTACTAGTCAGGCCCACACAAGGCTACGGCCCGCCCGCTACAGCCGCCCGTGTCCACGCCCCCCCCCCCCCCCCGTCGCGCACTGCCCCGTAGCCCGGCCCGAGCCGAACCGCGCCGCCCGAACCGAGCCGCGCCGCCCGAACCGAGCCGCGCCGCCCGAACCGAGCCGCGCCGCCCGAACCGAGCCGCGCCGCCTAGGCAGAGCCGTGCCGCCCTACTGTTCCTACTACTGCAGTTCCTACTACTACTGTCACTGCAACTATGGCTAGTCCTTCTGTGCTAGCTTTCGATGCTGAGGGCCGCCCACTGAAGTTTGAGATCTGGCTCGATGACTTACACCTATTCCTCCAGCTCACTGCCAAGGAGGATATCTCACTGTACGATCACGCGCTAGGCCATGCTACTGCCCCTGCTGCTACAGCTGACAGTACTGCCCGCTCACAGTGGCAGACTCGTGACGCTCACGCTCACTTCGCTATTCGCAATTCCCTGCCGGTAGATGAACGCGAGCACTTTGGCCAGCACAAAACTGCGCAGGCACTGTACACTGCTGTAGTTGCACGCTACTCCTCACCTGCCTCTGCTACACTAGGCCGTCTCTCGCTCCCCTACCTGTTCCCAGACCTGTCAGCTTTCTCCACAGTCTCTGACCTCATCACGCACCTCCGCACTAGTGAGGCCCGCTTCCGTGCTGCTATGCCCGCTGAGTTTCTTGACAAGAACCCCCCCCCGCTCTGGCTCACTCTCTACCACCTAGTCACTCGCCTCCCTGACACTCTGCGTTCAGTCAGGGACCACTTCCTAGCTCGCTGCCCCACTGAGCTCACCATTGACCTCCTCGAGAAGGAACTGCTTGCAGCCGAGGCTAGCATAGTCGCTGTAGGTGCCTCTCGTGGCGACCCCTGCACCCCTTTCTTCGAGGGGTGTTCCCCTTCCCCCCTTCTCCCCTCTGTCGCCTCTGCTGCTGCTGTCGACCTAGTTGGTACTGAGCAGGTCGGAACTGCGTCCGCTCCGAGCTGGCGCCGCAGCGGCAAGGGCAAAGGGGGCAAGGGAGGTGGAGGTGACGGCGGGGGAGGCGGTGGTGGGGGTGGTGGCGGCGGTGGGGGTGGTGGCGGGGCTGGAGGGGCTAGTGGCGGCAGTGGGGGTGGTGGCGACAGCGGCGGGGGAGGTGGCAGGGGCGGGGGCGGTGGTGGTGGCGGCGGTGGACGCGGAGGCGGCAGGGGCGGTGGTGGACGGGGTGGCAGCGGCGGAGGTGGTGGTCGTGAAGGCGCTGGCGGTGGCCAGAGCCAGCAGCCGACTCCGTCGCCCCAGGAGCTTCGTGAGTGGTACTCTCAGCACGGGGGGGGGGGGGTGGACTTAGCTGCACGTACGTCATCCGCACAGGTGACCGCACTGGTCAGACGTGTGGGAGGGCGCACACCACGCAGCGCTGCTTCTCCCGCCTCGACGACGCTTGGCGTACTCAGTTCCCTGCTGCCACTGAGCTGCCCCGCTGGGCTGATCTGATGAAGAAAAACATTGATATCTATTCTCTAGACTTTGATGCTATTCTCACTGCCATGTATGTGTTGTCTACTAGTGGAGAGGGTGCTCAGTACCTGCGTGCTCTGCCCGACCCGGGCATTCGGACCAGTGAGGCTGCCGCTCTAGGTGCTAGTGCGTCTGTTGCCCTAGGTGCTG